ATCCTACCCAGTTTTGAGGAAAAAATTCCAGAAAGTGAACAAATTTTTCGATGAAATTAAAAAACTTCAAATCGTTCTAAAAAAATTATTTTCGCTTGCAAGGGTCGATTACAATTATTTTTAGTCATTACACATACCCCCGAAATCCTGCGCATTTTCAAGAAAAAAATTATTTACTGAAAATGTAATGTGTGGCCAAAGATTTGTGATTATATTCCTCATTTTTATCACTTTATGTAGATGTAGTCCAGTTATCCAACATATAAAATTAAGATATACTTGTATAATTGTTAAACTTCGGTGACTAATTTATTAAGTGGTGTTTTGTTGTCAATATTTCTCTACGTTCGAAAGTTTCTTTTTCCACGGTTTTATTTCATAGATACAAACTTGGCGATTCTGTCGCATTATGCGCAATGCGGAAAAATTAATTCTTAAAGCGACATATGCCTTTGAACAAGATAACGACCCAAAGCACGTGGCAAAGAGAGTAAAACAGAGGTTCTGAAACACGTGCACGTACAATGGCGCCAAACAATTTCATACGCCCCCAAATTAGGGTTGCTGTGTCGAGTATTTATGAGATAAAAAGACTTAAGCGTGGAAGAATATTAAACAGGTTTTTATTTAAAAAAAAACTCAAGGAATTATTATTAAAACGAAAACAAGAACGACTACTAATTATAAAAATATTCCTAATCTGGTTTTCGATATATTATTCATTTTCTTTAATTTCCTTGTTACGAACATAAATTATTTTAAAATATAAAGATTGCTGATAGTTTATTATTCGAATGAACTAATTTTCCATGTTCTATATTTGTTCAAATTATAGTGCAAAACATAGAAATATTCGACACTTGATGAATTTGTTATTTTACAATATTTTAAATTAAAGTAGCATTGTTTACAATTTCACAAGTATTAGGGTTCTATTGTAAACAATATTGCAACACGTTGTGAGTCCAAAGAGCCGGTCACCGGTGACCACCGCGGCAATTAACGTATTAATGACAGATCAAAATTAAGAAACATCATTACTGAACATATTTGAATATACGTACATATACGTTTACGACTAACCTGGTTTCGAGATTGCTGAGATTCTGTCCCTCGAGTATGCACGACGGTTTGTTGCCAATAGGTCAAGGTTGACATACTAGGTAATTCTAATTAATAATTGCAAATATCCGCCTAACTCAGATTCTCGTACAATAACGACTGAATTGGGTAAATAACGAGTAAAATTTAATAGATTCAATATATCCGTTAATAAATTAAAAATTGCTTCACGAACGAATCTGCAATTTTCCATTCGTCAATAAATGTTCAACTTCGATGGCTGACGTGTTCTTTTCCTCAATTTCCACGGGTAAATAGAATCGAAGGGAAGAAAGCAACGATCGATTATGCGGAAAAAGAGAATTAATAATCAGGAATAGCGTCGACGAACGAGAGAGCCATGAAACGTAATCCCGCCTGTCTAATTCTAATCGATCATTCTTACTTTCCAATCTCTCTTACACGTACAATATTCTGCACCCGCCGGACACTTACTGCATCGTACGTTCGATTATCCCGATGTCTACGAGCCCGATAATTTACGTAGACGCATACACTCCTCTGCGTGCGGCCAGATATAGATGTACAAAGATATCGCAATGGGCGAAGGAATGAACTTTCTCGCGCATAACTTATGCAGATCAACCGGTCGATGTGTAGGGTTACTTAATATACATTTACGTATATTACTCGTAACGCTGCACGGTCGATTGTGTCGGGCTGGTTCCGAGACGAAGAACGTCCTGGCGCCTCTCGAACACCTCTGCAAACAACAAACTCACGACCAACTCCGAGTGCGAACTCGTGTTTGATTTTAAGCGCAGTGTAAACGACCCACGTTCATTTTTCATCGTTTTCTAATTTAATTGTAAATGGGCTGTTTGTTTGTTCCGTAATTTCGATGGCTAGTTAATTCCATGCATCGTCACTCAAATTGACTTTTCGTCCTTTTCTTAAAGACACGTTGGCTCATTGGTTTTGCCTACGTTAGACTTAATTTTTATTTCGTATATTATATTATATTGTTTCAGATATTCAGTTTCACTCGATATTACAATTTTATGGAAGAAACATTCTGCAGGGTTGCATGACTGCATTAGGTGTAGATTTCACTCGTAAATAATTAAAAATAGGGAAACCCTATCACAAATTTTTGGAATCAATTATACATATAAGAAAGACCTACCAACTTCAACAAAATATAAAATATTAAAATACTAAAACTGATGTTGAGTCTTTTGTGCAAAGTCCAATCTTCCAACTTATCGTTTGATTATTTTTCTGATATTCTTTAGGATATATTCCTTAAATAATTATACGTTCGTTTTCAAAGATTTATACGTAGCGAATTTCGTCGAAGGAAAAATACAGGGAAGAATTTGATCGATTTCGTGAGTGGCTATGTTTCCCGCGGGGCGGCCATTTTGGAAATTGATGGTTGTTGGAGTTTAACATCCCCGAGGAACCCGAGGCGTTAGTCGACCAGCACATACTGAGAATCGCAAGATAACTTGACTAGAAGCAATGCCGATGGTATCACGAAGGCCTCACCGTGGCTTACATGGTACAACAGGGGCCAACGTAAGAGGTTAACAGGGTTCAGTACAGCGATCTCTGTCAAGTTGCAATCATTTTTGCCCGTCGACGCGCAGAAAGACCGTCCCCACCACTTGGTGAAATTTCCGGCACGGAACAAGCCGCGGAATTATTTACGAGTCGCGGTCAACGATGACTCCGGTTATTAACGAGTCAGAATTTTATCCCCGTAATAAATTCTTTTGTAAATTAAAATACGTTGACCAATTTGTAGTTTGAAAAATGATTCTCGAGCATAAATGTTCGATCCGTTGCTCGAATGTAAAATTTGCTTTGTAACGAGTTTTAGGGACAGGAAGCTTAGAGACAGAAGTTTAAAGACGAGCACGAAAATTTTTAATAGCGTCGAAAATGTTTGTAGATTGTAGGTTGTAAATAATTGGTTATTTTCTGGAAAAGCATTTTAAAGCAAATATGTAACAAAGTTATTTGGGGGAAGAAAGATTATTGCTACCTTATAAAATCGCAGAGATTTAATTAAATTTATTCTTATGCAAGCAAAACACAAAATTTGAAATTGTTTCTTTGTGAATTCTCGTGCCCAGAATTTTCGCCGCGAGTTTCAAGAAGTATAAATTTGTAACTGACAATCCAATGAAAAGAATAATGGTTTCTAAGCTTCTTAGTCTCGAAACCTCTGAGCTGACCGATGAGGGTTGGATTATCGTGGACATTGTTCCATGTCGCGGGGCAGAGTTTTTCAGCTTGCTAAATGAGATGTGGTTAATCGTCTTGGGGTACTGTTCAGCGTTCATGCAGAGAGGTTTAAACCGACTTCGTAGCGACCAGCGTGGTACACGGGGCTGGCAACCCAATATTGCACTGGAAATTCATGCTACAACGCGCGGATACGCTATTCCCAAAGGGAAGAGAAGGATACACGCTGGTTACAAGCTGAAGCCTTGGAACAGCAGAGTCGCATTCGATGTAAGAAGCACGGCTTACATCGCAAACGTAATGATACAACGTTGAAAAGAAATTCAGAATAGAAAAATGGACATAGAAAAAATTTATTCGATAGGACAGATGTATTTGCTTGTTCATAAATTGATTCTACAAAGAAGAAAGACTTTAATGTAATGATTGATTACATTTTAGTTCTTTGTATTTGTTTCAGACAGGACCTCGATATGAAAGTTTTTAATAATTACTTTTGTAAAGGAATCAACCTCTTTGCAATACTGCAATATACGTATACGACTGATGTGTTTGCTTGTTCATAAATTGATTCTACAAAGAAGAAAGACTTTAATGTAATGATTGATTACATTTTAGTTCTTCGTATTTGTTTCAGACACGACCTCGATATGAAAATTTTTAATAATTACTTTTGTAAAGGAATCAACCTCTTTGCAATACTGAATTTATAATTAATATCAGATCCGATATTGCAATCGTAACTAGTGTCGATACGCTAAACTAATTTCGATTCTGCATAGCAATTATTCGACGCGACAGTTCTGTGAAACTGCTTCTATTATGAAGCCCGTGTCGTATCAGTTTTCAATTATTGTATGAATCTGGGCGTGCGTAAAATTGCAGGGAAAAATATATCCCCGGATTACTCAGAAAATTGTAAATGGTGGACAGTTACTCTCGCAATTAATATAATTAAAAAAAGAATACATTAGATATATGTATCTGATAAAAATAAAAAATCAATGTATCTCTATTTACATAGAATTTATTTCTAAAAATAGATAAATCTTTTGAAAAATTTAATTTAAAGGTAAAAAAAAGGTCTTTTTTCAATCATATTATATGAATGAACCTAATATTATCAATGTATTATTATCATTTAAGTCAAACTAATATTATTAGTTACTGTAAAATACTGACAAACGTAATTTGTATCACACTATAAATACCACTAAACAATAAAAAAGAGAAAGATACCAGGTTCCGTGGTGTAGCGGTTATCACGTCTGCTTTACACGCAGAAGGTCGCCAGTTCGATCCCGGCCGGAACCATTTTTTTTTCATTCCAAATATATATAATATTGAAATTAATAATTATTATATACATACATACTATTACATATTTTATATTACATAATTTTATATCGTGCATATATTACATCGAACTTTAAGTTTCTCGTCGTCCAATCATGTTTATAAAATGAAATAAAATTCGAAGAAAGAATAAATCGTTCTATTCAACGATTCTAATTGATTTTGAGTATCGTGAACTTTCGTTGTATGATAATTTGACCAGCTGATCGTTTACCGTTAGAAACAGGCTGTTCTTTAATCATATGGCAATTAAACTCATTCCACGAACTGAAATCACAGCCCGAATAAAAATAAGTAACCTAACGAGCAACTATTATTTTCTGTTTCAGATGTCAGCGCAGCGAGCAAATTAACATAGGTTGCAATGTTGCTGTCTTCGCTATGAACGAGATCCGTTGCTACGCTGATTCGCCCGTGCTTGCTGTACATCAGTCATTCAACCGGAATGGGAAGGCACTTAGGTGTGATTATTATAAACGTACTCCATATTGCCGCATCATACAGGGTGTTCCGCTTAATTTTACCGCCTTAAATATCCAATTTCCATTCGATAAAACGACAAAATGCAAAAAGGAAACATTCATTCGCAAAAGACAAATATTATGATAAAAAAAGCATTTCAAAGTCACATTTTTCTAGATTCTAAAATCATCGATATTTTTTTTTAGGATGAGGACCTTTAGTCAAAAATGTCTTTAATATTCTATTCTGATATTTAAGAATTGAATTGTTCACTATACCAACAAACTTCTCATTCGATCGACTATATTTGTGAACGTCAAGAATTTATTTATTTTTTTAATTCATAAAATATTTTCCTCCAACATTTTCTTCGAATATGAGAAATAAGCGAGATATTTGAGGTGATCGAGTTAAGTAGGACACCCTGTACGTTAGGTTTCTTTAAACGTTGGTTAACACTATCCGTCAGGCAACCGCCCGCCCTTTAATGGGTTTTGCGTAGTGGTATTCACGCTATCCGTCACCGTTGGTCTGGCGGTTTCTTTGAAGAATGCTTTAACGGACGGTTGCCTGGCGGATAATGTGAATCAGCCGTAATTCAGTGATGTCTAACATATGTAAATTCCAGAGCTTAGGAAGCTTCCCCTCGTTTCTAACTCCGTTAGTATAGTACAAGAACGCTGCCCGATACATTATAGTGTGCTAGATTCCCAGGCAAACATAACATGCTTAAAGCTGGAACCATTTGCCGAATTCTTACGCGTTTGAGTGCTCCTCAAATATTCGGCGTGGTTGGTCAAGAAGTAATTGCGTTTTATCACAATTCTTAGCAATATTTGGCAATATAATTAATTTTATTTTAAATTATGGTTCAAGCTTTGGAAAGAAATGTACACGAATCGAAATTTTGTATTATGTTTAGAAAATGCCTAACTGATACAGTGCAATATACAGGGTGTTCGGCCACCTCTAGCAAAAATTTTAATGAGCGATAGTAGAGGCCAAAATAAGACGAAAATCAAGTATACTAATTTGTTGATGGAGGCTTCGTTACAAAGTTATTAACATTTAAAGTTCCGCCTGAATCATGGCAACCATCGAGCATATGCGTAAGCGTGGGAGGTCAGGAAACGATGTATTACAGGAACCGAGCTTACCGACTTATCGATCGCCTTTCGTGTCTGCGTCAACTCTCAGGACGGCGAACGTGGTACGTTGAATGAAATCCGACAGCCCCTCGTTTTTGCGTCAACTCCCAGGAAGGTAAACGCATATCGTCGAATAGGATTCAACCTGTCTTATGAACATCCAGAGGGGCATATCAATACTCGCCCGACAAGATGTTCACAGAGAGAGGGTGAATGCCTCTTTTAACACACACATTTTTTTCTGTATAAAAATCACCCACACGCGAGCATACACGCATCGCGATTGTCCCGTCCGCGAGTGTCCACGTGTACGCGCACCATGATTGTCCCGACCGCGAGTGTCCACAAGTAAATACTTTTCGACGAGCACCACTATTCAATTAAATAATACACGCGCACCGCGATTGTCCCGTCCGCGAGTGTCCACGTGTACGCGTACCACGATTGTCCCGACCGCGAGTGTCCACAAGTAAATACTTTTCGACGAGCACCACTATTCAATTAAATAATACACGCGCACCGCAATTGTCCCGTCCACGAGTGTCCACATACTCAGAGAGAACTGCCTCACAAAAGATGTTCCACGCGGCCACCATTTTCTTGTAGGCACAGCTGCATTCTTCTCTGGAAATTTCGTCGCATATTTTCTAAATGAGCCCCTTCTCGTGACTCAATAATACCAGCTGAAAACGTAATCCGGCAATTGAGTTCGTCGAGCGAGTTTACTGGTGTTGAGTAAACTAAATCCTTTAAGTGGCCCCAGTAGAAAAAATCAAGGGGGTTCAAATCAGGTGAACGAGCAGGCCACAGCTGAGGTCCTCCTCGTCCAATCCACTTGTTTTTAAAGTACGCGTTTAAATGCCCGCGTACTGCCAGTGTGGAATGGGGCGGTGCACCGTCGTGCATGTACCACATGTTTCTGCGTACATGTAGTGGTACATCCTCCAGAAGGCTTGGCAACTGCGTTTCCAAAAATTCCAGGTACAATTGTCCTGTTAATCGTTGTGGCAAGACCACAGGACCAATAATTTTACTGCCAAGTATGCCTGCCCAAATATTGACAGAAAACTGGCGTTGTGTATTTATTGCGTAAACCGCATGTAGGTTTTCTTCTGCCCAAATATGGGCATTGTGTGTGTTTATGTTGCATTTTTTCTCGTTCCGCGCATTGATATGCCCCTCTGGATGTTCATAAGACAGGTTGAATCCTATTCGACGATATGCGTTTACCTTCCTGGGAGTTGACGCAAAAACGAGGGGCTTTGTCGGATTTCATTCAACGTACCACGTTCGCCGTCCTAAGAGTTGACGCAGACACGAAAGGCGATCGATAAGTCGGTAAGCTCGGTTCCTGTAATACATCGTTTCCTGACCTCCCACGCTTACGCATATGCTCGATGGTTGCCATGATTCAGGCGGAACTTTAAATGTTAATAACTTTGTAACGAAACCTCCATCAACAAATTAGTATACTTGATTTTCGTCTTATTTTGGCCTCTACTATCGCCCATTAAAATTTTTGCTAGAGATGGCCGAACACCCTGTATAATAAAGAGGGTTCGTTTCAGGGGATCGAAGAAAAGTGTGCTATTCTATACAACCGACTGCGGCGACGAGAAAGAAGATTTGGGATTTAAGCTTCAACAACGATCGGTATCTCTGGTGAGTGTCACGAATTTTTAAAATCGTTATGATATTATAACGTACCATGACCCCGACACACGCGGCATTCCAACGCCAAAAGGGGTTCCCCATTAGATTAGATTAGGATTAGACGCCAACGTGTGTCAGCTTTCAAACAACTCGAGTGAGTTATCAAGCGCCCATCGGTAACTATCAACAGCGATAAGCGAATCCTCGATTGCCAGACGCATCCGGGGATATTGCCGAAAGGAAAGTCGTCCTTTTATGTCGCGTCTCAGATTTCTTAACAGACGGAGAGAATCTTACTCTGGCGATAAGAATCTCTTCCAAGCAAGTCGTTTCGCGCGAACGTTGCTGACTAATCCCGAGTTAGAAATTGGCGTATCCAGTATCTCTTCGAGACCGTCTTCCGGGTCGCCACGGTTGATGGAAGCTTCTCTATCCGTCGCCAACTATTACACGATTTCCTAAAGCGCGGTGTCTCTTCGCGAGCTCATACCCACGTCCTCCGAATGATTAAGAGGGCAGTCTCATGTGTACGTTGCAAAATTTAACCATATTCATTCATTTTTTTAAACTAAGTGCTACATCTAACGCTATAATTTATACATATTATATTTATATATTTATACGGAATAAAAAATAAATTTTTCATTTTTATTGACTTTTCAAGTATTTATTACGTCCACAGTAAACATTTGTTTAATCACTGGCGTAGGTGATTGTAGCTCTCAAGCTTGACGAAATCAAATAATTCATATAATTCTAATAAATTCAAATAATCAAAATAATTAATTTAGGGCTATACAAAAAATGTTTTACAATCCACAATACTTAACATCTATCTCTCAAAATTTAGCAGTATATTCTTAATCAGTATATTCTTTCAAGAAATGAAATAAAACAACAAAATTGACTTTTTTGAGGTCTCATATGAGACTACCCCCTAAACACTAAACCTACGGGCACTTCATGCATACCTATTCCTATCATGACCAGTCAAATGTCTTTCTTTTTCTCTTTTACGAGGCAACGTACTTCTAATTTTTGCATTATATGTATAGAAAGTTGTGTTTTGATGTTTATTCGTAAGATATCCTTCTCTTTTATGTTAAAACATTGTTTAATTTTCATCGGATAGAAGATAAAACGCCCTTGAAAACGAAGAAAAATTGCTGGCTAGTAATTACGCAAACATCTTGTATTTAAAATAATTTTCAATTAAATAAACAATTTATGGTCAAGTTTTATCGTAAACTAGCCGTACCATCAATAGGAATCGCTGAAACTTCTTTGACTATGTAGCGTCAAAGTAAATTTCGAAATAAACATAGAAGATAGCAAATAGTATAGTAAATGATATGATCATTAGATAGAGGATGAAATGCCCTTTAAAACGAGCGTTCGAACAAGTCGACAGCTTTATTAGTTCCGGAGATATAGCGATTTTAATTTCAAGTCGATGCGGTGGCTAGTTTCGGAGATAGGGTTTCTTTACGTTTCGTTGTGCGCTCGCGAGTTCATTGCTCTCGCGCGCGTGACAATAGTAAACAGTGAGTAGTAAATTCTTGGAAATACTACGCCGCAACTGGGTCACGACAGTCACGTACACGGGTTAGGTCAGCACCACGCACGTGCGACAAAGAGGTCCGACGCCTAAGACGAAGACAGAGATAAAAAAAATTACCATTTACATAAATTACGATATCTCCGAAACGGATAGTCCGATCGCCAAAAACCAAAAGCCATTTCAAAGAGGAAGGTTTACCGCTGCCAACGATACCTCATTTATAAATAAAACACTAGTAGTTTCCAAACTGCACGCATCTAAACTTTTAGTATTTTTAATACGCGTTAATAGGCTATTGTACGCGAGTCGGACAATGAGACAGTCGAATTAAAAAAAATTACCTTTTACATAAATTACGATATCTCAGAAACGAAAAGCCGGATCGACAAAAACCAAAAGCCATTTTAAAGGGGAGGCTTTGCCGTTTCTAACAATGCCTTAATAATTAATAAAACCCTAGTAGTTTCGGAACTGCACACGTCTAAAGTTTAACTATTTTTAATACACGTTAATAACATTTTCTGAGACGGGGAAGCGAGAAACAGTGGAATTTAAAAAATTACCTTTTACATAAATTACGATATCTCGAAAACGGAAAGTCCGATTGACAAAAACCAAAAACCATTTTAAAGGGGAAGGTTTACTGCTTCCAACGATGCCTCAGTTATGAAGAAAACATGAATAGTTTCGAAACTGCATGTGTGTAAAGTTTAACTATTTTTAATACGCGTTGTTAGACTGTTCTAAGACAGTGGAAACTGTAGATTCTCTCCTTTCGTCTTTGTTCTACATATATTTTCTACATCAAAGTTAACCAGAATTTGGTACCAATTTTTGTCCAGTTTTTTACAAAAAAATATAAATCATTCAACCGGTCAGGAGACCGATCGTGGCAGGCAAGACAGATTACATATTTTTCTCAGAAAACAAACAATGAGAATAGAAGTGAATATTGTAAAATTCATTGTACGTGTACTATAAGAAAAGTTATGAAGTTAAATGGCGCTAAAATAATATTGTGCGTTAGAAATTCTAAACGAAATTTTAAAAACGGTCATTTGGCCGGTCGCGGTAGATTTAGTGTTAACGAACTCGCAGGTAATACGAGGATGCTTTTAATCGCTTCGATTAAACACGGGGTCCGGCAAGCAGGAGGCTTCATCGTGCATCAATGACAAAGCATACGCCTTCGTAATAACTCGCGGATTCTTTGTTTAGCGATGACTCGAAGGATACATTCTATACCGCCTTGTATCCTATCGGTCATGCGTGCCGTTTAAAACTTCATCAACCGTGCATATCGCGTTCGCGTTACATCGAACGACGAGTCAATTATGCTTCGCGAAAGACAGTTGTAATTACGAGGAGACGTAGCCGGATTATCCGTGAATCGTTGAGTGGTTGCTTTCGCGCGAACAGTCGACGTAAATCGGTGATATACTTGCCTGAGCAGAAGATGATTCATGGACGCATGAAATTGATTTCATAGTCGTGTAATTTAGATGGATCGAACGGATTATGCGTAAGCCCCTCGGAGTTCATTAGTCCGATTTGTGCAAAGATTTCATCGATGTATCGAAATGTAATTATTGTTGGAAAGTAACTAGGTCGATCGTGTATCAATGATTACTACCTGCGATGTAATGCAATGTTTAAAATTACGTCGCACTATTTATTAAATTGCTCCACCGTTGTAACGTTGAGACTTAATTTTTTCTCCCACGATATTGACTACGAGCAAATTTTAGCCTTTAGGGTTAAACCTTTTAACGTTCACGGAAGCGGAAGGGTCGTTGAAGATTATAATATCAAGCCTCGTCGGAATAAATTTGTCAAGAGGGTCCTCTCGTTCGATATCGAGATAATTATTCCGAGTCATTCGCGTTGTACTAAAATTTTAACAAGGTATTATGTGGCAAAGTACTCCTCGTAGTCTGACGTGCTCGAAGCGACCCACATCCGAAAATAGAACCAAAAGTTTACTCGGTTTCTATTGTAGCATTAATTCCACGGATCTTGTTCCAACACTGGTCACCGTATTGACAAGGGTCGTCGTCGGGTCAAGTAGATTTCGTAGTTTCGGTCTCTGTGCTTTAACAGGGTCGACGTACTCGCACATGATCGCCTCGCGTACACGCCGGATGATGCCGCGGTATTGTCGTGAGAATTTCTGAACACGCCGAGAAATCGTAATTCTCACGAGCCCTACAATCGGACCTTTCATGCAATTTCTTCGCCGAGCTGCAGTTACACGCCATTTGCCTTGAGCGAGTCGAAAAACAGACGTTCATCCTTCGGGGTATAGAAAATCGCTCCTCTCCTAGTCATTGAATAAATTTCGTACGATCTTTCCTAGATCTCTACAACGTTCCTATTATTTTTATTACTGAACATAGTAAATGAAATCTCTAATTAATATATTTAAAAAATATTTATAACGAATACTATTCTTGTTAGAAATTAATCTCTCATTACAAAAACTTAAGAAACTGCATTTCTTAATTTATTTTATATTGCCTGTAAACTACTGTCAAGGTTGTTTTAATAAAGCTTTACATCTTGAGTCTCGCGTTTTAACGTAATAATGATACTTATTGCTCGTAATTTGTTACAAAATGGTCTCTAAAATGTTTCTACTATTTTTATTACTAGACATAATAAATGAAATCTCTGATTTATGACGAGTACTATCTTTATTAGAAATTAATCTTTCATTGCAAAAACTTAAGAAACTACATTTCTTAATTTATTTAATTTATCTTATATTGCCTGTAAACTATTGTCAAGGTTTTTTGAATAAAGCTTTACATCTTGAGTCTCGCGTTTTAACATAATAATGATACTTATTGCTCGTAATTTGTTACAAAATGGACTCTAAAATGTTTCTACTATTTGTATCACTAGGCATAATAAATGAAATCTCTGATTTATGACGAGTGCTATCTTTATTAGAAATTGATCTTTCATTGCAAAAACTTAAGAAAATGCATTTCTTAATTTACTTTATTTCAAAAGTATATTCCAATATACTTGTAAACTACTGTCAAGGTTTTTTGAATAAAGCTTTACATCTTGAGTCTCGCGTTTTAACATAATAGTGATGCTTATTGCTCGTAATTTGTTGTGAAATGAACAGGCGCGCAATAATCGTCAGATTCGAAGGAATGGTAGCTACCGATAAAGAGAATATACAATAAGAGAAAACCGAGTTCTATCTGTTAGGAGGCTGCTCGGTAATTTCGAATACAACTTCGACCCGTAGAACCGGGAAATTAGTATGTACTTCCATAGGTGGTCAGATACATAAAGATTACGAAAGAACCCGCTGGAACCTCCTGACTGGCGATAAAATGCGCATGTAACATGTTTGGCTATAAAAAAAATATCGTTCTATTCCTTCATCAAATAAAACTATGAGACGCTTAGAGACAGAGTATGTAGATGCAATAAAGATATCCAACACTATTACCATTACCATTCTACGATTGCGAGGAAATTGCTTTTCCCCAATATTTCAGTCTGTTTCGTTGTAAAGCGCGTTGAACTGTAAAAGTGCACGATTTTTTATATTTGTTTATCGACGCACGAGTCGTAAGGTAGAATTGGATAGACTCGGAACGAGTATTTGATTATCATGAAAGCGTTTGACACGTTGAATTATTCTGTGCTAAATTACATAAAGTTGGAATAACTGGTTTAGCCCCTCGAGTACGCTCGTATCTTATAAATTACACGTAACAAGTAATGTTAACGACTTTCAAGCACGTACTTTCATTACCACAACAGGCCTCGCATAGTGTTCGGCAACTATATCGCGTAATTTAGCATGTAAACGCATATATGGTTACGATCTTTCTAATTTGAAATTTTTTTAAATATGATTTATTCGAAATAATAACATTTATTATTATTACAACATACTCAATGTTATTATTTCAAATATACAATATTTTATTTTTAAAAATCTCAAATTAGGAAGCTTGTTTATATTAACGTAACAGTTAACAGTCAACATCAGCTTGTTGAATAAAAAATATTATTTATTATCCTTGACGATATACTGTACAGCAAAAATGGTGTAATTTGATCAAAACTTACGTTGACATCGCTTTCGTCAAAAAACCAAATTTATCAGAATGTAAATACCGTTACATAATAATTCGGGTTTTCTATTCGTTTCAGACTGCTTTACATACTGGGCCTGGTTCACAACAGCAACTTCTGGAACCCAGAATGGCGCAACTGGAAACCTTGGAAGCGAAGGTAATGAAACAATCCAGACATTCTTTACCACGAAATGAAAACGAAACTTTCTTACGTTTAGAATTCTTTGCGATAGAACCGACACTTTGTTTACAATGACTCCTCTTATATTGCACGATCGATGTTATCCCTAGCTAAACGAAAACCATTTCGTACACATTGCAATTTAGTTGAAAACTATCTCTATTTCGTATCAACTTGGAAATTATTTATGTTTGTTCTTGCAATCACTTTTAAAATGTAACAACATAGTAATATTTATTTTTTAAAAAAGACGATGTTTCACCCATGAAGTGAATTATTTATTTTTATTTCATTAGCTATGTTCTTATTTTAGATCGTGTTATATACATTAATGTCCTTTAAAAAACCGATAAGTCTCATTTTATTTTTAACTGACTGGTATGGACACTTTTAAATGGAAAACAAAATCAATCAAGTCCGTATAACTTCAACTAAAAAATAAAATTTCAAATAAATAAAATAACAAGTAAATTTAAATTTAAATAAAAGTTCCAATTATTGAATACAGTATTCCATAACGAACAAATAAATTGGATACCCATTATTCGAATAAAATTTTGCCGATCTTTGTCGAAACGTGGATCAAAATAAACGAAACGTGCAATCGTTGTTGCGAGCCTCAAAAAAAGGTTTACATTATTTCCAAGTTAATAAGCTACGGGGGCCTAACGTTCACGATCGTTCTTCCGTTCGACTTTATTTTTCCAAATGTTGGCAAAAAGACGAAAACGATATGTAGGATGCTGTTTTTAACCGCGCCATCGGAAGAAACCGAAGGCAATGTTTCACGGTTATTGGCGGGTCCGCGATAGCCCCCGGCTTCTTAAGGCTGTCCAGCCAGTGATTTATATGCAGATGCATGGGCCGAACTGTGTTTCGTTTGGGTCCCTTCAACTCGCACTCGGGCCCCTGGGACCGTGCCCGTGCGGGTGCTATTAAAACTGCCCCACGTCCACACACGGACAACCATTGGCGCAGCATTCTCGAGAATTGTTTTTTTAACGTCAAATACCTCCCAGAAATTCTGAACCCTTTGTTTCATGAAAACCACCAAATTACTCTTTACCAATCCATTCTTAAGGAATTCTAACTAAATAAAAACTCTACTAGTAATTAGTAAACTTGGAAGTCATCCTAAGCCTACTGAGCAAGGATTGAATAAATAATTTTCACATATATGTATTTTCAGGAATTGTAAAATAAATAGCTGTTTGATTTAACTCTAGTAAACTTTACCAGAATATAAATTGCACAGTAAATAATGTATAGGGTTAACAATTATAGCCCACTATTTAGAAAAAGCAATTAATAAACTTAGAAGTCATCCTAAATTTGCTAAGCAAGGATTGAATAAATAATTTTCACAAATATGTATTTTCAGGAATTGTAAAATAAATAGCTGTTTGATTTAATTCTAGCAAACTTTACCAGATTATAAATTGCACAGTAAATAATGTATAGAGTTAACAATTATAGCTCACTATTTAGAGAAAGGAATTAGTAAACTTGGAAGTCATCCTCAATTTGCTAAACAAGGATTGAATATATAATTTTCACAAATATGTATTTTCAGGAATTGTAAAATAAATAGCTCTTTAATTTAATTGTAATAAACTTTACCAGATTATAAATTGCACAGTAAATAATGTATAAAGTTAACAATTATAGCTCACTATTTAGAAAAAGCAATTAATAAACTTAGAAGTCATCCTAAATTTGCTAAGCAAGGATTGAATAAATAATTTTCACAACTATGTATTTTCAGAAATTCTAAAATAAACAGCTCTTTGACAGATTTCAATTTCCAAGCATTATTTCTAATTGAATTGTTAGACTAGCGTGTAGATATAACGTAGCATTATTAACGGCCACTCGACTATCAGAATGAATATCAAATTATCGTGCTATTACGTGCGTTAATGCGACAATAATAGTTGCGGTTCACGCGAGAAAATAGTCACGAGCAACATTGGTTATTACATCTTATTGGAATGTGTTTAGCTCTCGAAAGATGGTATCAACGGAAGATATATTTACTGGGACTCGTTATATATTGATGACCGTGAAATGCTAGTTCTTGAATACCAATAGATAAGGGGAGAGCGACAACGATAACGAAATGAACGTTAAAACGACATACTCACGAAAGTCTAATTGTCCAGTACTATCATAAACCAACGCGGTTTATCAATTATGAAGCCTAAATTTATTTCTGCCCTGAATTGATAAGAGATAAAGACAAAAATAACAGCGCTAGAAATAGAAATAAAAATACAGTGACAATTTCCGAGGGTGGGTGGGTGTAATTCACTCGTTTTCGTTAACAAAGAAACACGCGCGTATTTCATTTTAAGTACACTGACTCCGTAATCTTTTATCGCGCTCTTCACCGGTCGTGGCTATATTTCCTAAGCTTTTTCCAGCCGCGATTAATGTGCGTTGTCAGACTCGTTGAAGCGGTTTTGACTTCTCCGAGCGCGCCGCAAAAATCCGTCCCGATGTTTACGCTCGAGCGGGCATCCGCGAAGTCGTGTTTTGCCATCGCGGAGGAAAAAGCAGGAGCAAAAGAAGCCGAGGACAGAGGGAGAAGCGTGCTGTGTACATGCAGGGGTCCCGATATGAATAATGAAGAAGAACGTCGACACAGAGAAGTTACATCAACGTCGATAGGATATCCCCTTTGCCAGGAGCCAAGAATGTTCCGCGAGTGGATGATCCTTGGCTGCCAAAAGGATATTTTTCGTTCGTATTCCGCGTGTTACTGCGAACTTTCCGCGCCAGCTTTCGGTTTCAATGAACATTCCATCAGAGGGAAGGGGGAGGGGGGCGGAAGAGCATTATATGGGGAAGAAAATCCCTTGTAAGCGTTATAAAAAGCACGGACCGTAATAAAATCAACATCTACTGCGTAAAGCATTTTTGAAAATGGAATATTTTTTTTGCAAAACGATAGTTAATATTTATCGACGTTACAAAATTTTCAATCAGAATATTTAAAGAACAATGATAGATTTTTTAATAATATATAAACGAGTAATAAAATCGACATCTACTGAGTAAACCACTTTTGAAAATCGAGTATTTCTTTTGCAAGACGATAGTTAATATTTATTGACGTTAAAAAAATATTTGTACATAACGTTTTCAATTAGAATATTTAAAGAACAATGATGGATTTTTTAATAATATATGAACAACATTGGGAATAAATTGACGATGTCGAAAAAAAAAATAATAATATTAATGATAGGCATATGTTCTGAACGATAAAAATAAATTCCAAAAACGAAAACAATTGAATCCCTAGTTTTTAAATATTCTACTAATAGTATATAGTCTTTTAAAAATACTATCTACGTTCAGGTGATTCGTCAGATTTCTTCAAAAATTAAGAATTATATCAAAGATAGGGAAAAACTAATGGACACGATTGATGATAAATTTAGACACCTGTGTATTTAAAATTTATATATAAGGATATGTGAAGATGTCAAAAAAAAATAATAATATTAATGATAAAAATAAATCCCAAAAACGAAAACAATTGAATCCCTAGTTTTTGAAATATTTTACTAATATTATATAGCCTTTTAGAAATACTAACTACGTTCAGGTGATTCGTTAGATTTCTTCAAAAACTAAGAATTATATCAAAGACATGGAGAAACTAATGGGGATTCGATCGATAATAAATTTAAATACCAGTGTATTTAGAATTTTAAAAGGTATCGACTTTTGAAGTTAATTGTGTCGCGATCAATTTCGAAATGTTTGGACGAAATTTCGGTTGCAGTACGCCCTTGGGTCCAAAGGCTCAGACAGATCGGGTCGGCGAGATTGCAGATCCAGGAGTCAGTGCCCTTTACTGTCTGAACAGCAGCACCTAAGGCAGAGGTTTCGTTCCCTTAACGTGTCGAAACATTGCCCTTCGAAAGTTTCGTGTCCGAGAAAATATTTTCGGGATTAATAGTTACCGAGAAACAACACGGTTCGCGGAATTACACGCGAATATAGACGGATTATTCAGAGCGAATTTGTACCTTTAATTCGCTTGGCCTCGAGTTTAAATTATTGTACAATTTTACTACGTGTTAGTAAAAATATATAAAAAAAATCCAAACGTATAAAAATATCGTAACTAAGAATTGTAGTCACTTTTGAAAATATTCATGGTGCATCCTTCAATAATTTTACTATTTCCTTATGTGGAATGTATTTTATTAGATTTATTAGATATAAAATCAGTGACAGTTTTTAGTTACGACGTTTTAAAATTATTTTAACCCTTAAGTGGATTATTGGAAGTTTAATCTAACAATTATCTAATAGTTGTACATGTAATTATTTGAAATCTTATGTAATCCTCCATTAGTTTATTATTTTTTAAATGCTTTAAAGGAAAGTTGATTTCCATTTATCAATTTGATAAAAATCAACATTAAGTAAAATAATTCAGTTGAGATCGAGAGTCCACTTAAGGGTTAAATATTTTGTACTTGAGAGGGTTGAAAACGATGTACGAATTATATTAGATATTTCATTTAGCGTGCAAAGATTAAATAATATTTTACTTGGAAGAAAATTGTCCTAAAGCATGCAATTATTTTTATCGAAAATTCTAAAAACTATCCTCAATCTATTTACTGACATTTATAAAACTCTTGGGTGGAATGAAAAATTTACACCATACTAACGGGGGGAAAAACGCTGTAGTTCCAACGAAATTGCACGTTTGGATCGAACAGTTTCTTCCCAGAGATACCATCGATCGCGATATAGTTCGTCGAATTCGTCGATACTTGAAAACAGGCCAAGGCACATAAACGCGAAGCCTTTGTTCTCTTCGTACAACTATCGCCTCCTGCAAACGCAGAGGGACGGTGGGGGTGGTACGTTTATCTCAGAAATAAGGGTCTTCTCCATGCAAATTCCGCAATAAATTTCCACTTCCTGCGTGCACGCAGCGACTATCGTCCTTTTTGCACCGTACTTACACGACGACGAGAAGAAATTCGCGGAATGCACGTGTCGATATCGCCACCCATCCGTTCCCACTTCTGCTCTCTGTTCGAGGGGAAGAAGTGTTAAATCCAATCTAGTCCTCCGACTTCCAACGCCTCTCTATTATCTCGTTATTCGACCCATTGTATACCGGACAAATTTTTCTACGAGTTGAAACAGATTTTGTATTCTTGTATTCAAAGTACAGTAGTACCTCGATTATTGCAGAAATTCGGTCCTGCAATGAACGATGTAGTCGATGCAATGAGTAAATATCAACGACATTATCGATACATACTGTATCTATGTGAAATTTTATATTCTCATAATGAACGTACAGTAGTACCTCGATTATTGCAGAAATTCGAACCTACAATAAACGAGGTAGCCAATGAAATGAATATAGTACAACAGAGCAGATTATGTAACTCACAATCAGTAACATGAAAGAAGTATAATGAAGAGAAAACGATGAATTTTTGAATTGCTCACATTTGAGTAAATGTCAACGATATTGTTAATACATACTATATTTATGTGAAATTTTGTATTCTAATAATCAACGTATAGTAGAACCTCGATTATTGCAAGAATTTGGACATGCAATAAACGAGGTAGCCAATGCAATGAATAGTACAAGAGGGCAAATTATGTAACTCAGTAATGTGATAGAAGTATAATGAAGAGAAAACGATGAGATTTTCTCCCACGAGCACGACAACAAAAAAATGACTACTTGCTAAACAAGAGGATGAGCAACAACCGTTTACCGTAGTCATACTCGAGGGCTCGTTGATGGATTTGCAGCAAAACGCTGCAACATCTCATCTTTGAACTCGAGAATGATTGGCTTTCTTGCTGTATACGTCTTTAGCGTCGTGCCATAACGACGCGTCGCGTCGGTTTATTGGTAAAAAACGTCGCCCACGAGTCCTCGTATTTTGGACACCCGAGTTCTTGCACACATTGAATATGTATGAGAAAATCACGTAATTTTCTGTACACGGTAGTATCGATGGTATTTAAATGGAGAATTAAATTTTTGTTATTGTTATTTCGAAAAAATTCAGCACGTTTGAAATTTATGCGCTGAAAAATATAAACGTCGAGTACCTCTGTTTTTGTTTTCAATTATTAACGGTTGAAATTTATCTACGAGTTCGCCAGACCTCGAGTGCTTCTCCGGGTTCGAGCGAAATAGGATTGTACGACTATTACTGTCCGAAGTTTTATTCTATAGCCATGAATCTTCGCGCCATAAATCTTAGTTGGAGATAATCCCATGACCAGACGTCGAATAATAGGCATGGAAGGGCTCGGAAGCACGAAGAACGTGCACGGCGGAGAGAAGGTGTCGCCAAGAAATCGCTTATCTTAAACGCGGTTGTATGTGGTCTTACCGGATTCTAAATCAACGCGTTGACAAACTTTGTAACGTAACATTTTGTAAACAAACAAATTAATCGATTAAACTGATCCTTAGAAAGATAATGCATGCTTGTTGAAGTCAGATAATTATTTTAACGATTGAATTTCACGTTTGAAACCGAAAAATAAAATTACACATATGTATTTCAAAGTAGATATACGCGTTACTCTATCAGAAGAGGTTAAAAATATTAACGATATTATAATGTTTTGTTCGATTAAATATTAAATTTCGCTCTGAACTCGACGACTAAGATAATTCCTATGGGGGCAAATTTTATAAATATTGCAAGTTCCCACGAGATAAAAACAAAATGGTTAACCTTCGTAGCCTCGTACGGAACAGTGTCATGATACTTTGATCCTCGAGGAGAGTTACTATCCCTTCCGACAATGCAAAGTACTGGTCAGTGCTTCCTTCCTTCGATACTGTGCCACGATGAAGGAGGATCTGATATGGGACTATTGTGAGCACAGTATATCTCAGATGAAGCAACAGACCACCAACCGGGTAAGAAGGAATCATGAACCGGATATCCCTTAAGCCCGATATTGTTACATCCTTGATGTAGGGGCTCGATATTTTTTAGGAAGAACCTCTCAAATACATTTGCATAATTTTATGAGAATTGATGATGCTTGTTACGGGCGACACTATAATAAGAGGACGAAAGATAAAGTGGCATGCAACGCCTTAGAATTTAAAGAGTACGACAAAAATAAATATTCGCAATATTTTTTCTCAGTCTGAGCAAAAATTTTTAGTAATCAAATAAGTACATATTTTCTGCAATCTTGAAATTTCATTCTTTGAACTATTCAATAACGATTATTCTGATCAAAAATATTGATAGAAATGTCAATTTAAAATGGAGGAATTTAAACTCCCATAACAATAAATATGGTCACTGCACATTATAAACAATATCAGAATATTCATAACATTTTCTAAATAAGCTCTTCGAATATCTGAAACATTTCCTATGAACATTAATTCAAAATGGAGAAATTTGAACTCCCACAAAAATAAATTTGACCTTATAAACATGGCCACCTCCCATTATAAACATCAGAATATTTATAGCAGCCTTTCAAGGATTAAAATATTTTTTAAATAGTTTCTTTCTTTTCCAATAAAGCTAAACAGTTTTCTAGATCCAAGAGAAAGAAATCAGCAGAAATACTGTACACTATAACTTAAAGTAAGTTATAGTGTACAGTAAACCTGCAGAATGAAGGACCATGGTATTTGGATGTACGATAAATGGTAAAAGATAGGTCGTTGTCGCGTCTGGTGGAAAAGGATTCATCGCGGCGATGATCATGATTTGTAAGGAGGATCTCGTATAAATAGCGTTGCCGCGGAGAGGATTTTGTATATCAGATAACAAAGATTTCTCTCTGGTTTAACCGACCGGATCGCTCGAAGGTGAAACACGATCGAATTTACGTGCTCGACAGGCAAACATAAAATGGGAATTTCGTCCTAGTTTCGACAAGTTGGTTTAACGACGCTCGTAGAATCTTTGTAGGCTAAGAAGAGACATCCGGTTGGGTGCAAATTTTCTGCGAGCGAATCTATGTAGTCGATGGTCTCGTGTGGGACGAGCAAGGTCTCGGATCCGATCCTCCTCTCTGGTTGCTGTGCAGTCAAGGCCAGCGTTGACCTTCCCCGCTCTGTAAGCCAGCGAGAGGGACGGCGTATTGCTTTCTCGAGGATCATGGAGCATCGTGTACAGTACCGAGTCCATGGTGTCGATACTACCGACGTGCATGTCCATTAAGGTCGAGACATCTCGTCCCAACGATCATCACAAATCATAGGTTTAATGGAACGATAAATTCATATTTATACCGCGTGCCGTTTTGCCACCCCCCCTAGTTTCGAATATTTTTAAATCGCGTCCATAAAGTAAACATCCTCGAGAACAAAACCAGTAGGTTCGGAAGGACTACGGTACCTCCAGCTGAGCCTACCGCGATATAGGAGTCAAACAACTTGCACTTTCAGCTATAACGTCCAGAAGGGATGTAACGGCGAGAAACATCTTCCTTCTATCGTAACCATGATGATTTATATTTCTCGATAACAGAGAAAGTATTTGGTACACCAAATAGAGATGATATTTTATCGTACGTTTCTGCACGAATTTTAGTCGGTTAAAATTTTGACCAAAATTATATATTCGTGTTGTGGCATTGCGTTGTATTGGGCAATTCCAAACTCATCTCTTATTTAAGTTAATGTTTGGTCGCTAAAATCGTTCTGGAAATACATGCGATACCATCGAAAGAGCTATAAGATCTGCCAATTTAGATTGTAGACGTCGTTAAAACAGCATAACACGAGCGTCTATGGTCTGCTGACCATAGCAGCCGAGCGCATAGGATTCGCCAACTTTAACAGCCCATTGAAGTACTAACTATGAACTGTACGCAATTTACTAATTTTATAGAGATCGTATGCTTCTTATTCTTTAATTTATAATATCATTTGTATCTCATAAATATGAAAGATCTCATTCTACCAACTTATTCGTTTAAGTAGATCCTGCACAAAATTAGAATCGTATTTATAGGTACTTACTCTTTCTGCAGATGGCCAGCATCGAAGTATCCTTGTCGACGACCCCGAGGCGAAAAAAGGGCGGAAGCATTTCTGGCGGAGTCACATCGCCCGCTGGACATCGTAACAGGGACCATTATAAGGAGCTGGACGCTCTTCGAGTCGCTCTGCGTGACAAAGAGAATATTATTCAAACGTGAGAGGTTTCATCATTTTGTGCACGTGTCTCTTAAGTGGGCGTAATAAAAACGTGAAAAGTCAATAAGAATTATTGAAAAATTTATTTTGTATTCCCAAAGGATAGTTGAATAAATTGCGAAAATAAATTATAGCGTTGGATGTAACATTTAGGTAAATAAAATTAATAAAGATGGTTCAATTTTGCAACATACACCCACCTTTAAGAGACTACCCCCTTAAAATAAAAAAAAATATCCAAACCAGACAAACTGATTTTATAATTAGTGTTTCATCTTGAACTTTATTTCGATAAAAATATTGTAAATATCCAGCTATATATTGCTACATTTCAGATTGAAAGGGCAATTGTGTAACACCCTGAGCAACCGATTAGCACTGCGTAACGGTGCACCACCTTTGACCGAGGCGGACAGGAAAGTCACCGAGGAAAGGCTCCAGAGGTTACGACGCGACGCAGACAATAAGCGTCTGGCGATTAAAAACTTGAAACTAGCACTAGAGCGTTTAGACATTACCGAGTGAGTAAATAGAAATTGGATGTTTATCGTCTACTCTAAATAATACAGTTCTTTGCTCGACAAGCTAGATGTTTATCTAGTTCTTTAACACATAAATTAAACATTTATAAAATAATTACGTAATTATATTAGTTTAAGTGGTTCCTTTATTTTTTAACATTCGTTTGTTCCAGCAACATCGATGTTCGAATTCAACAAGCCGAGTTGGAGTACAGACTCGGACGAGAAGAACTTGAACTTCTGACTCTACGCGAAGAAAGTAGAGCTCTTCAAGCTGCTTTAGAATTAGCGGAGACTCAGGAGAAACAAAAGAATGATACGATATTTAGGTACCTTATTAAATAATGATAACCTTGCAAAAGACAATTTCTTGTATCAAGAGTATATTTTGTCTCCCTAGTGTGTATTTATTGCGTTATTAAGAGAGCGTAATTATCTATCTAATTATTTTGCTCGTTAACACAGACTAAGAGAAAAATAACTCTCTTTTTTATTGATAACAACAATTTCTACGAATTCTTTAAAAGATCGTTCGCTCAGAAATTGCGCTTTACCCTCGATATACAGTTTGATTTAATTTTTTATTTTGAATAATAGTAACACGTACGGCGTTTGATAATTTTTTATTTCTTTCCGCAGTTGTATCTCTGGTTCTATGCAAGTTACGATCCATGCAGTGGAGGTTAGCGCGGATCCCAAGAGCCCTCGTTTTGGTGCAGGGCCGAGGGAAGACACACCTGGCCTTTACGTCGATTGGGCAGTCGAAGACTCCGGGCTCTGCAAGGGAGATAGGTTCGAATTATACTATTCTGCCGCATAACATTTTACCCATTCAACGAACATCGGCGCAAAATATACGATTTCGAAGTTTCCATATTCGCGTCACGTATTATTCGTGTTATGAATGTTGCATCCGTTTCTACCTCCTCTTTTATTCGTTACGACTATTTCGTGCCAGGTTTGTGTGAAAACTATATCACGGCCAACAGTCGATATTTTAAGCTAAAGATATCGATGGTTGACCATGTAGTGGCGGGGACTTTCAAAGAAAAATCTCAGAACTGATCTCCCTTCCCTTTTTTTCTGAAAATGACACTAAAAGCAGTCGTAAAGACCGCCGTGATATTTTGCTTGGAACGCAATCATCACCTAACAGGAAAGAGAACGGTGTTTTTCTTTCGATGGGAAACTGTAGACCAGTGGTTCTCAACATTTTCTGCTCTATTCTCTCACTTTGTCATAAATAAAAATATCCTCGTTCTCAAGACTGACTCAAAACGTGCATTTCAATAATATGTGTATAATATTAAAAATTTATTATTTAATCGATATTAATACCCTTCACGTGGATTATTTTTATATCAAAATAATCTAAAAAATTCTATCAATAAAAAACAAGTATAGGTCAAAAAGAATTATAAATAAAATATTTCCACAAACAAAACTAAGCAATATTTATGAATTTTTGTATGAATATACTTTGCTATGCTTGATAAAAATTAAGGATTTAAAATATTTAGACTTCTCTGGTTTTCGACTTTACTTTAATATTCTAAAAAATTTTGAAACTCTTGGTTGAGAACCCCGGTCGACCATACCTTGTTATGGATTTACTCAAGTCCTTGTTTGATCTACGTCTCGGCACATTGATCGGCATGTAACGGATCCGCGGTATTTGTCGAGACAAACAAGAAAAAAGTAAAACAAGAAAGAGAGGGAAATAGTAAAGAGACGTTCGCGGATAAGAAAGTAAATAAGAAACGGGAGACAAGAGAAAAGAAAAAGATTGTTAAAAGAGAACAGAGTAAATACACAGTGTGTAACGTCGTGTGGTTTATAGTACGTAACCTGGCTATCGGTGTAGAACAATAATGCAATCTTGGCATTTGGTTCCCAACAGTTCACCGTAGCGTGAAGCAGCACCGGAAGTTCGCCGTGTGCCCCCGCTAATTGCACCTACGACTTCACATGACCCCATCGTCTTTCCTCCTACTCATGGATATCCTCCGGGAATAGTCGTTAAAACTCGACGCACCTGTATTCCATATTTCCTTTACTTTTCATAAACAGCAAACAAAATGAATATACGTCAAATTTCATCCATAGAATTTCCGTATCTTTCCGTGGAACTTTATACATTAATAATGAAACAAATTCGACCATGTTTTCATAATTTCGTTCAACAATTTAAAATTACTGTTAGGAAACGAAGAATACAAATGCTGGCAGAGTCGCAACGCCAACGTTGTTAGACGAATCGTTGAACCTGTTTCCGTGAACGTGAGAGAATAGTGATTTTTATCATAATATATGACTCCTCGCGTCGCGAATTTCCATTCCCTTCCTCGAACATTTTTCGTGCCGTTAAATACAATGAAGATATTTTAGTTAGTGTAATTGACTATACAAAAACGTAATGTAAAGAAGAAATAGATATTATACAAGTAAAATGAATCTTAAAACTATTTTTAAAAGTACTATTAATATATATGAATAGCTCACACCAATTTGTAGGAAGAGTGGAAACTGTTCTGAGCGTCGCCAGCCGCTTTAATTAACTGGTATCGACATTGTAAGCCGTATAAGTGGCGTTAAAAAAAAATTTCAACCAATTAAGTGTAGCAATGCTCGTGGCGTTCGGACGTATCAGTCAGTATTGTTTCCAGGATCTTGGAAGTAAACGGGAAACTTGTGGTGGGGGCAGGCAGGAGCGACTTAGCGAGGCTACTGGCCGTCGCGCCCGATGCAGCACAAATCGTGGTCCTTCGAAAAGGTGAATCCCTTGCAGCACTCCGCACGCTGCGATCAGATAACCTTAGGTTGACTCACAGAATCGGATATCTCGAGGAACAGGTTAGGGATCTTCTGGCACCAAGTAGAGCCGAGGTCCCCGCGGATCCTCCGCCGACTCGTCAAGAACAAGTTCAGGTACGAGACGGAAATAATACATCGCCGATCTTAAGTGTCTTCTACAAATTCGACGAAATGGTACATTTTTTACACATAAATTTTTTTAATGCAAGGTAATAAAATTTAAATAAGTTATTCAACAATACGTTCGAGCTACCTCAAAAAACCGAATGGCTGCCATCTTGATTCAGCTTATCTGAAACGAACAAATAAAAAAACATTTTTTTTTAAATGACGTTACATGCATCAAACTGAAATATTTAAAACTACCTCGATTAAATATACCTTTGTGTCAGCCAAGTATTTTATTCTAAAATTTGCCTTTTCCTAATTATACAGGTTTTTCAAAAGGGGCCACAAGTAACTGCGTTAGTTGCGAACCTTCCTGGTCTCAATGTGAGAAATTCAATGGAGCTACGTCAGAGTCTACCTACAGTGAGGAACAGACACAGCGATCATTCGAAACGTTTGATAGAACCGAAAACTCTGAAGGACGTTAATTTGTCGTTGGACGCTGTATCAAACAATCATCATAAATCGCGGACTAGGCAAAAGCACCAAGGATTTCAATTGACCGGATCGACCGCGAGCCTGGATTGCAAACAAATACAAATACAATCGCAATTACAACGCAGAAGACCACCCCGGGTTGAATCAGCTATGGAACATTTGTCTAAAAATCGCAAAGACTCGTCGCAAACTCAAGCTTTAGACTTTGACTCTGAACCAACGTATTATCGATTTCAGGTACATTGCGAATATTAACATAACCCCTACTGCGTCGTATTATTAGTATACTCTATAAAAAGTACCTATTTATTTCCAATTAAACTTTTAAACAAGATACATGATAAAAATTCGAATATTTCAAGGTTTCCTACTGTTTCAGGACATACAATCACGAGCGTCAGAGAACTCCGACACATCGATGGTATATTGTTCTCAAGAGACGAAATCTCGTCCAGCTCCACCGAAAAAACCGTTACGACTGTCTTTGCATCGTGCAGCTAGCCTACAATCTGTGGAAAGCGCGCCACCTGTTGCCCATCATGATATAGCTAAGAAACCAACAAAGAGGAACCATAAAGGCGATCCACCGATCGAGAAGAACACACGAGGGGATATAAATGAAGAAACGTGCAATCAAATTCAGGAATTGCAATATAATTCGCCTCAACCACCACCAAGGACTCCGTCCAGGGCAGAATCCTGCCAGAGTGCACTACGTTGGCCATCTCCTAAACCAAGACCACATTTAGCACCCGTTACGATGGAAAAGTGGTGCTAATCGAAGAAAATGTTATTGTGTGGATAATGTTCGCGAATTCAATTCTATTCGATGACGCACATTCTTTCTATAAACATTTTATTTTTACGAGAAGCAAATCTTTTAGCATCTCTATGGCTAGTAGTGTTGCGACGAAAATCTCAAACGTAATTTGGCAAAATTTCATTAAAACTAATGAAAGATATCAGGTTCCGCAGAACAAACGATAGAACTTCCCACGGGACAAAAAGATAGAGAACCGTCTTGCATTGGAGAAGCAGAAAGCTTTGTTTCTTAATTTAGTATTGAATAATAATAATTGAAGATCTCCACTATTAAAGAAGAAATTTCATGTAACTTAGAAAGATTTTAGATAATAAGTATGTAAATAAAGTTTGATACTTTGATACTTGATACATGTATTTGAAGACTGAATTACTTCGAACGAAATTTGTTCACAGACTATTTTTTATAGGTTAATCCTCGAATAATAATTTTAGCGACCGCACGGCGGACTCTGGGTTCATTTTGACACGAATTGAAATTTTATTATTTCGCATTCCAGCACAGTGGTTATGATTGATTGTTCACAAGCTCTATTAGTATTGATATTATTATTTATTAAAAATAAAAACTTCAGGACTCTGGATGAATAATTTGCATGAGTCCAAATGGACCCGGAGACCTCTGGGCAAGAATTAAGTAAGCTAGAGTAAGTATATATTGTTTTCTTTCTGCTTACATCCGCCCTTTATAAAAATATTTCGTTGTACGTGTGTGTTCTAATGAAAACATTATCGAATAAGACGAACAACTTGATCAATTAAAGTGCAAATTTGATTACTCATCAAAATAATTAAAGCATAAGATTATCAATATAAATATTATCATAAACGTTTCATACGAAATACGCGAAAGATGCCTTTCAAAAACATACTCAACCATTTAAAGTATTTAGTATTATTATAAGTCTAAGAAGGATTCTATTTTATTTTTGTGCGACAAAAATTAGTTTAATAATTGAATTTTTTCTAATTGCTAGTCGAAGTTGATGAAATATAATGTTAAAAATATTACGAAATTCGAAGAAATATTTAGAGATACATGTAATGTAATAAGTACAATAAAATGCACTTATGCATTTAAAATGACCACCACCTTTCCTATTCAAACAACTATTTTTTAATAAAGAATTCTGTAAGACAAATATATAAAAAGTTTTATTTTTAATAAACATAACCATTATTGATACAATGATCAAACATGCTGCACAGCTGCATTACAGAGCCGAGCTAAAAGACTATTCATTTGCAACAAACTGTTAATTCCATCTACTATTCCAAGATGAGTTATTCCAATTTCCTAAAATCAAAACATACGAACACGCGACTTTATTAATTTCATGAACAAGTAATAATTCCGTGTGCAATACATCGAAAAATAAACAAAATTTGCTACAACTTACTTTTACAAATTCTAATTTTAATTTTTCATCAATCGGTAAGTTTTTACAAACTCTGAATATATTACTAATTAAATCTTCTGCAGAATATCCCATTGCCCATAAATGTTCCATTACCTGTTCAAGTTTATTAAATGTACATTTCAAGTGTATATTATACGTTAGAATTTATTAAATAGTAACAAAATGTCGTACCCCATATGCTTTACAAATTCTACCCTCTGAACAAAAGTCAAGCATTTCTTTAACGAGTAATGGATGTGGTTCATCGCAAACTTTAAACACATTTTCGCTATTTACATGACCAAAACCATTATACGTTGACTGTAAATTATTTAATGCTTGTCTCATGTCACCTTGAGCAGTAAACACTATTGCTTCTAAGCCATCGTCAGTGTATGAAATCTGCCCAAATATAATTCAAACATGTTATTTCGCACGTTACGAATATTATTAAACTTAAATTGGTATATAGTAATACAATCTTTTTATCTACATTTTCCTTCCCACAAACTTCGATAACTTTTGTTAAAACTTGCGCATCTGATAATTTTCCATATCGTAACATAGCACAACGTGACTGTATTGGTTCAATAATTTTTTCACTATTATTACAAGCTAATGCAAATCTAGTCGTATTACTATATATTTCCATGGTTCTGCGCAATGCCTGTTGTGCACCATCTGTCATGCTATCAGCTTCGTCTAAAATTACTATTTTATGTTTTCCCTTTGGAAGGTTGACCTAGTTTTAAGTAATTACAAAATAGTTATTGCAGCAGTGTGTACAGTAGAACACAGCCTGAAATGTATCAAATATATGTACCCTCTTTTGGGCAAACATCTTAATTTTATTTCTAACAACATCTATTCCTCTGTCATTTGAAGCATTTAGCTCCAGCACCGATTCCTTAAAAGCTTGCCCTAAAAGAATACGTGCTAAGCACAAAATTGTTGTAGTTTTACCAACTCCTGGAGGTCCAGCAATGATTATATTTGGACAATTTCCATGTTGAGCAAAGACAGAAAGTCTGGATACTGTGTCTTCGTTACCAACAATATCCGAAAAAACGTGTGGTCTGTACTTTTCAATCCTAAAAAAAATGTTCATTTTTACGATAAATTGCCTTTTCAAAAATTTAACCTCAACAACTTGATACCTAATCATTCATAGCTTGTAGCGCCTTAAATGATAACGTACCATGGTAAATTTAACTTGGCATCTTTTTCCTTATTTTTTACATTAAAACTACTTGTAGATGGTACAATTTCTATATCCATTGATTCTTCGCCGGTTTTAACACCTGCCATCTTCAAAATTTAAGTTTGGAATGCGGGAAAAATTTAGAGACAGTCTACACAAGCATAGAATATATAACATAAAGAGACACAACAACATTTGATAGCTTTTTTGTTAATGTTGAAAGTAAAATTGTATTATCGATTGATCTAATAAATAATCAGTATTATAAAACATCCGATACTGCATATCGAGATGTGTATAAAAAATTATTATACTTTACCTGTGCAAATATTTTGTCTGTGTAATACTGAAATCTTGAAAAGAATATCTTTTGATTACTTGATAGTAATTGAATAAATATAACAGCATAAAATTAAAGTAATTAGTGTACTGCAGAATATATAAAAAAGGAATGGGATACATGTTTAATTTTTAATGATATAGAAAAAATAATTACAAGTTAGTCTTAGACATAATGGATATTTTTACATTTGCACAATTTACATTCGATGTATTATTTAAGTTAGTTACATCATAGACGAGGTATGGAATAGACTGAACATTCGATACAACATTCTCTTAGAGACAATTCTGGAGAAGGGAACTTTATAGTCACTGTGCCATTCAATATCATGTTCAACGTTATCGACTGAAAGTTGAATAAGATTTCAACGCTCTTAGCGGTAGGAATTAAAATTAAATATCAAATTAAAATGTCAAATCTATGTTTTGTGTTACAAAAATTCGTTTAATGGATTAGCAAACATTCAAGCTAAAATCTGGCAGCTAAACAGAATCATTTCTTAGTACACGTACTCAAAAGTTATACAGTGTAAAGATATACGTATATTCTTCATCAATCATAGTGAAACTGAAATCAGTCAAGTAATTATACCTTTGTTATTCAAAAATTAAAATTACGAGGGAGGAAAATTACAAACTAAAATTGTAATATTTATTGTCTCTTTTCAGATTCTTTGCATCCTATAAGTGCATGCTTGGATTCAGCAGAACTATTTCGATAATTTTGCTGATGACTTCCACAGAGCAAAAACATTATTCATTCACCACCGAGGAACTACTCGATCGCATTCTATAGACGGTCAGTTGTATGTTATTTTGTATTTGTCTGGCAATTAACTTGATTTGGATAATTAATTTGCATGTGCTGCTATAATTAATTTGATTTACATTATGTTTGGGCTCATTTTAATCGGAAAAATTTTAGTAGCCCGTCAATATTTTTTTTCATAAACGTATGACAAAGGTTACAGAAAATGAAAGTTTCTTTATTACTTGGTAATTTTTTTTTACTCGCGACTTTCCTTTGAATAGGAATAGGAAATAATTCTATACAAACTTATACGAACATAGTGGGGACACTTTATTTAAATTTAAGGGAACAAATTTTGTTAAATTAAAGGGGGCAGTACTGCATCGAATACGTTCAATCGTTTATGCCACCCTTATATAAATGCAAACATAAATTCCAAACATACGTTATTATTTCTTATCATTGTCAGTTAATTGTAACTTTGTTTCGATGATTTGCAATTATTTCATTTTACATAATGCGTAATTCTTTATGTTTATTGATTCATTATTGAATAACCACAATGGTATGACGTGATGTTTCAAAATACTGTAGTGTTCTTAAAGATGTCGCTAGCGTCGGATACATTTTTCGTGAAATCTCGTAAGATTGTCTTTCTTCATAAGCACCTTGTCGGTGGTTTGCGAAATGAGAATCCAATATGGCAGCCGTCGTGATATCTGCACAAGTGAGTGTCGCGGAAATGTTTTGAACTCGTCAAGTAATCGTGACAACCGGTCGACGTACAACGCATAGGTTAGTAAGGGAGAATTACGGTTTGTTCGTGTATTCGTTTCTTTTAATTCGATCGATCAATTTGTGTCAGGAAACCGGGCTTTTGTAAGAATCGTTTTTCTCATACGATTGGACCGTTAAAGTATATACGTTCGGCCGCAGTATCGTTTCAATGCAGGCATAGGTTACCTCGTTTTCCTATCCTCGAATCGAACGTGTCGCGTTTAATAAAAATCGGGTGCGCGTTTCGTTCACTCAAGCATTGTATGTTTAATACCATGCTTTCCAATTGAATGTTTGATGCGTATACATTTTTGCTAGCGAGGGTGTGTGCATGTGCGTGTCAGGTGTGTGGATGCAGTCTTCGATGTATGAACGTGCGTGCCCGTCATTTGTTTTTTAAATTGTCGCTTGTCTTTTCTTTTCCAACGAACAATGGTTGAGTGTCGCGCGTGTTTGAACATCAAGAAAGAAGATTCGTTAAGTGCTACTTCGGCACATCACGCCATGCTGTACGACAGCATGGTATCTCGACCTACCACCTATCGAACAATGCTGTTGCGGACAACATTTGGTAAGTTGTAACCATTTATTCCACAACTTTCTTCTTTGCAATGCCTCTGTCATTGCTTGTTTAATAAAATCCTCTTAACAACAGTTTTCGAATATTTCGAATTTCTATACTATTTAACGATACACAATTTGAAAGATCGAAAGACAGCGAATGCAGTATTCGGTTTATTACTTTTGAGAACGGGGGCCATTAGTAATTAATTATTTTAAAGATTATTTCGGATAGTTATGTAAATACGTATGTGCGGAAATGTCGTATCATTTGTTGTAGTATACTGATAATTATTTCCGCTTGGCCCTGAAAAATATTTGATTGCTAGCAGGACATGATTCTTCGTACCAGTGTTTCTCAAACTGCGATTCGCGGCCCCCTGGGGTTTGCGAAATATTTAAGGAAAAATTGGAAATATATTATACTGTAGATTTAAAAACATGCTTCTTGTAGTATTTTATTATATAATTAAATTTTAAGAAGAGTCATGGGAACTCAATAATTATTTTAAAATCTATTTTTTGCATTGAAAAGTATAAAACTGTTTAAACTATATTATGATTTTTTAAATGTAAATCATTTATATAAAAAAACACATTTAAAATATATTGAAAAACTGAAAATTTAGTTGTACTCTAGGGGGTTCGTTACAGATTTGCTATTATTGGCAGGTTTCGCAAAGAAATAAAGTTTAAAAAACACTGCTTTATAGATATTTGTAGACAAAAAGAGAATATACATGTGTTACATCTAATTCTTCAATCATATAATCCAATGTCTTTTTTAATTGTAACAAATAATGTGAAATTATTATAGGTGAAGAATTTATAACTGCTTTTAGTTCGATAGTTAATTAAATTTCTTATAATGCCAACCTTTAAATTAATTAAATATGCCTTTAACATAAAACATAGCTAGAAAGAATATAAGTTAATTTGGTTTTCGCAATCTGTGGAACTTCCTATTATTTCAGTTAATCATAGTGATAGCGAACTATTCTATTCTGTTGCAATGCAGTATTTCAACTGATATATATTTTTAAGTTATTCCCTTTATGCATATACTGGTCTTGAGAGATTTTTCAAATTATCTATTATATTTAAATTCAAGGAATGAGGAGGCTATTGCGAAAGAGGAATTTTTTTGTATAAAAAGTATATATCTATGACTTCTGTAGCATGTGAACAACAATCTCAGATAATGAATTTTGTCCTTGCAATATATTTTAAACACTTAGTGTGCTCTGTTTTTAAATTCAGATAACCGATCTCTACTTTCTAAAATGTTAATGTCTATCTTAAAATTATAGCTGATGTGACCATAAATCATTATATTTAGTCCACCCATCAATCATAAAAGTTTAATAATTGTTTAATTATATTTTCATTGTATCATTATAAACCTACCACTTGGATGTAGAATTTTTTTTTTAGTTATGATATTCTGCGGATTATTCATTCCAATGGGCATTTTTTATGCAAACAATTGAGGTTTTTACCTGGCGTGTAACTACATAACATTTCTAAAATTTTCATTTTATAAGATCTTATCTACCTAGATTAATCAGAAACTTTTGGGACACCCTGTATGCTACATATTATGGGCGCACCATTTAATTATTGAATGTCGAGAATTATTCATCTTGTATGCAATCACGATGGATGGCTATGTTTATGTGTGCAGTTCATTTCTAGACACGATGAATAATTTGACGATGTATACTTAACAAATTGTGATAAGTTTTATTATTAACTTAATTATTCATAATTGAATAATCTGAAAAGGGGACGTTACGTTTCCGTAGCCATATTATTTACATAAATCTATCATATCGAGCAATATGTGGAATGCTTCGGTTAAGCCTCGCGTGGCGGTGCCTGGTCTAATTTCCTCTACTCGACATACGATATGCGCGCTATGTTTATGGTATATAGCGATAAAAAAAAAAGAACGAGTCTCGAAGCAATGCATTTTCTAGTAGTGTTCATTACGATCACGAGAAAAATTTATATATCCATTGTTTCATCGAAATACGAAACGAGAAATCGTAATAGATCGTAACGTTTTGGATCAGAGGCGTTGAAACCAACGAGAATTGAACAAATATTTGACCTTTACTCAGCAGTTTCTATCAAATTTTAACAGTTGATCAGATATTAAGCAATAAAGGTTCTTCAAATGTACGATAATTGTTTGTTTTATTGAAATAAGTCGAGGGGTATGTCCATAATTAAAACTCTCTGTGAATTTTGGCTCAACATCAGCTTAAATTTGATTCCGTCAAAAGTACGTTTATGGTTGCTGTTCTTTGAAGTGTACTTAGGTAATCGACATCAGAATATTTCGACAAGCGAATGTTTAGTGCCAGTTAAGATCTTCAAAGTGTTCTGGCGCTGTACAAAGTCTGGGAAAGCTTAGGGTCTACTCTCGAGCTCTTGAGGATTTTATCAGACAATAAATTTACACCCATCGGCAACGACCATGCGTCCGCGAATTAATTGCAGAGGCACAAGAGAAGTCTAGAGGATGCTTAGAGTTACCCGGGACTCCTTGAATTTCTGTTTGTATTCACTATGAGTTGTACCGTCACATCTCCATTTAGATACGACCGTTCGGTTCTTTAGCTTGTTTACTAACAGTGCTCAAAATATTGGCTTACGCCAGAATAATTCTTTGAAGAGGTTCGATGAGTTTCGTATTT